TTTCAAGGTGTAAGTACCTTCCACAGGGAGAAAATACTGGGTACTATAAGATTCTCTATTCTAGTGAAGAAAGACATAAAAGGAACCAATGACTGGAAGCCAGGGTGGATAAAAATCAATGATTTTAAAAAAAATCTGAATTTTTTAATTTAAATCGGATTTTTTTGATAAAATGCTTTTTGAGGAAAAAACCTATCTAAAGATAGTTTTAATTAAGATATCCTTGAGCTATAATGTATCTCATCATGGAATAGGAATTATAAATTCTAATTCTATAGTATGAAACAATATGTTCATGTAATGTTTAAGAAAAGTTTTGTAAATGAGTTCCAGTAGTTCATGGATTAGGGACCCAATCTTATGTGGTTCCAGGAGCTTCTATATAGATTATTTAGGTTAATCTTTCTATCTACCCAATGGAACTCAGTGATCAGTCTAGAACGGGGGTAGGCAACCTATGGCACGCGTGCCAAAGGCGGCACGCGAGCGGATTTTCAGTGGCACTCACACTGCCTGGGTCCTGGCCACCGGTCCAGGGGGCTCTGCATTTTAATTTAATTTTAAATGAAGCTTCTTAACCATTTTAAAAACCTTATTTACTTTACATACAACAATACTTTCGTTATATGTTATAGACTTATAGAAAGAGACCTTCTAAAAACGTTAAAATGTATTACTGGCATGCAAAACCTTAAATTAGAGTGAATAAATGAAGACTCAGCACACCACTTCTGAAAGGTTGCTGACCCCTGGTCTAGAAGACACCATCAGAGATGCTTAATTTTGCAGTTCTCAAACTGTGGATTTGTGTCTCCAGAGATAACATGCTTGTTAACCACAAAAATGTTTTAAAATAAAATAAATAAATAAAATATAGAGGTGAGAAATACCAGACCTCAACCCTATTGTCCCTCTGCAAATTTGTGTACGCAGACTCAATCCCTTATCTCTCTCTAAAAGTGCAAAGTTTCAAAAAGTTCAATGAATATAAGATTGTTGCGGGCGGAATAGATCTAGACAAGGAGAAGAAGTCTGGAGATAAATGTGAGAACGGTGGGACGGGCAGTAGAAACAAAAATGAAACTGTTTGAGCAGCATATTCCAGAAGTCTTGAGGTCTTTCTGAGTGTAGCCTTCATTGATTTGAGATCTACCATACCATTATCTCACTAGAAGGGAAAACCTATAATGGCAGCAGAGAGACCCAGTTTGGGAATATTTTAATGTGGGTAAGACAGGCATGCGTGCAAAATGCAAACAGTGCAACAAAGAAATGCAAGGCCTGGGTGCCCAAATGAAACAACATCAAGAGAAGTGTTCCTTCTCAGGAGGAAGCTACGTTGAAGATGATGAAAGGAACATGTCTGAACATGCAGGATCTTCAGGTTCGTAAACTTTTTTATTTCATACTTCTTTCTTAAGGACTGCCTGTCTTCCTTCTGGACTATTCTTGAATTCTCATGTTTGAGCAAAAAAAATATAGTTGTTACTCTATGGTACTCTCATTTTAGATGCAGTAGTGATAAAAAATAAATAGCTGAAATAAGCAGATCTTCCTTTCACAATTTCACCTTTAAAGTAGTACTGAGTGTCAGTGAATGCAATGAGTAATACTAAATGAGCAGTATGGTAATAATAATTAATTAACTGCATTGACTTATTTTTTTTTTTAGGAGAATCCATCCTCAACATACAGGATTCTGAAGACTATCCACCTTCAAGATCACAATCATTTTCTATAGTTTCAGAGTTATCTGCCAATGATAGTGTTTCAGTCACATCATGTATGTCACAGAGCCACAGTATATCACTTGTAGCAAAAAGAAAAAAAAATTCCATCATCCAGAATCTATCATCCATAGATAAGTTTGTGATAAGTACCAGCAGATTAAAAAAAGAGGTAATTGATAAAAAAAATTGCCCAGTTTGCTTATGCAACAAACTCTCCTTTCCATATGATTGAGAACCCACACTTTATTAACATGGTTCAGTCATTAAGACCAGGATACAGTCCACCCAACAGAGCAGATGTCGCAGGCAAATTGCGGGATAAAGTGTATGAAAGAGAAATTGAGCAGTGTGCAAAAGGTCTAGAGGGTAAAATTGTTAACCTGAGTCTTGATGGGTGGAGCAATGTCCACAATGATCCTGTTGTATGTACTTGTGTGACAACAGAAGAAGGGAATGTCTTCCTTACAGAAATAATTGATACATCAGGAAATGCACCCAGAGCAGAATACTTACAAAAAGTAGCAGTAAAAGCTATAACAAACTGTGAAAAAAAGTTCAAATGTCTAGTACGCAGCTTGGTCACAGACAATGCTGCAAATGTATCCAAGATGAGAAGAAATTATTTAGAAGAGAGTCCCAAGCTAATAACATACGGTTGCAGTGCTCATTTGATGCACCTCCTAGCCAAAGACTTCAGTGTTCCAGAAATAAAGGGTACGTCTATACTTACCTCCGGGTCCGGCGGTAAGCAATCGATCTTCTGGGATCGATTTATCACATCTTGTCTAGACACGATAAATCGATCCCGGATCGATCCCGGAAGTGCTCACCGTCGACGCCGGTACTCCTGCTCCGCAAGAGGAGTACGTGGAGTAGACGGGGGAGCCTGCCTGCCGCGTGTGGACCCGCGGTAAGTTCGAACTAAGATACTTCGACTTCAGCTACGTTATTCATGTAGCTGAAGTTGCGTATCTTAGTTCGAAGTGCGGGGTTAGTGTGGACCAGCTAAAAGACTAATATTGTTGAAATTGCAAAATACTTCCATAACCACTTTGCAGCAGCTGCGCTGAAAAATGTGGGAGGAACCAAGCTAACTCTCCCACAAGACATGCGATGGAACTCAGTAGTGGACTGTTTTAAGCACTATATCAAGAACTGGCCTAGTCTGATGACAGTTTGTGAACAAAATCGTGAAAAAAATAGACGGCACTGTCACAGCCAAAGTTCTCAACATTGGGCTTAAGAGAAATGTTGAACACATGCCGAGTACCCTAAGGCTATTTCTGTAGCCTTGAACAAAATGCAGAGAAATAGCAGTTTTATTGCTGACGCTGGTGAAATTTGGAAGGAACTGAGTGAGATCTTAAAAAGAGAAATATGCAATGACGGAGTTAAATTACAAGCATTAAAAAAAACTAATGGGACAAGCACTATCTCCAGCTCATTTTCTTGCAAATATTCTCAATCCTCGGTACCAGAGTCAAACCTTAACTGCTGAAGAAGAGGAGTTGGCTATGACATGGACATCCAGAAATCATCCCTCCATAATGCCAACTATAATAAACTTCAGAGCTAAGGGTGAACCATTCAAGAAGTAGATATTTGCTGATCATGTTTTAAAGAAAGTCACACCAGTGAACTGGTGGAAGTCACTTAAGCACTTGGATTCAGAGACTGTTGAAGTGATAATCTCACTTAACAGCAGTAGCTTCTTCTGCCGGTGTAGAAAGAATATTTTCTTCCTTTGGACTAATTCATTCCAAACTGAGAAATCGTTTGGGACCTGAAAAAGCAGGAAAGAAAGCTTGTTTTTCTTTTCCAGATTATGAACAAACAGGAAAATGAAGGTGAAGACGACTGAGTTAGCTGCAGAAGCCAATATTTTAAGTTTCTCATGTTGACCTGGCTGATATAGTCAATCTAATTTTTGGGTTTTTTTTTAATATTTCATTTAACTATTTTAGTTAAAAACAACAAAAACAAACCTGATTTTAATAAACTTGAATGTTTAACTAAATTCAAAAACTCATATGCTTGTTTTGTTAAAATAGTATATGTTTGCTGTTGAAGACAAAAATCCAGAATACATAATGTTGTTTTAGTTAAATAAAACAAATTAAATGTCTGTCTGGTGATGTTCTCCTCCTAATACAGCATGGCAAGAAAATCCTCCAAATATTAATGATTAACCTATTAAACTGGAGATAGTTCACCTCCCAATGACTTCATAAATATTTGCTTCAATTACCTTTGGTAAATGAAATAACCAAACAGTCATTCATTTTCTGACATTTTTAACAGTGAGGGTGATTAACCATCAGAACAAGCTAACAAGAGAAAGTCTTCCCAATACAGTATCAAAGAGAAACCCCTCAAAAGCCTGATTTTTGTACATTTACATAGAACATAAACTGCTAAAAACAAACCTTGAAAAATAAAGTTAAATAAACCCTAAAGAAGCCCTCGTTATGGCCTTTAACTCCAAGTGTGCTCAATGGATTATAAAGAAGGTGGAATTGCTATTATACTAGAAAGAACAAGTGAGGGCTAGTCATTGTTTGGAACATGCAAGATGTCAGCATGTACTCTGGCTCATGATTTTTAAAATAACTTTTTCCTATTGACTTTGGCCTTTTCTTTAAATAGAGTTTACATTTTTTTTGTAAGTAACTTTGGGTAAGTTTTACTGTGCTGTAGAGTCGACAATGCCAACAAAAACAAAAAGAAAATGGATCAATGACACAATGATCTTTAACTTCCAATCTAAGAAGCGCAAGCCTGCGTGAACAGCCAGAGATACTGCATTCCTATTCTCTCTTGAGCATCTGTACTGAAAAAAAAATCCAGTAATTAATTCTTTGTTAGGGGAATGAAACCAGAAGTCTGAAATGAGAACAAAATTTCTGGGGTCAGTTTGGCTTGCAACTCCCTGCAGTTGCTTAAATCCATAATCGGCATTAGAAGTTACATTTTAGTATATGCACATTTTTAACCTTCTGCTGAGAGTTTTATTCTATTCATAAATTCTTGCCTGTTTTGATTGCAAATGCATTTACAATATTGAGAGTTCACCATAACTATGACAGAAAATGGAAGTGACTGACCTGTAATTGGAGATTTTTCAATATGTGTTGTTCCTATCTATATTCCACAAGTGGGTGCGCATGTGCTCCATGAGGCTGAGATTTGTGAAAGTAATGTCTGTTGGTCTGTGCACGTGCAGTTGTTCTTCTCGTGCTCCAAACTGAGGGCACAAAGGGCAGCGGAGACTGACACCTTTCCAGTTCCTTCTCTTACGCGAATCAGATGGGATACCAAGCAGAGGGGAAGGAGGACAGGTAAAGATGGTCTCTTTGGGTGCAGAAATGTTTCTAAGGACTCGGGCCAATAGAAGAGGAGACTGTGGATAGGGCAGAGTGAAAATATCCTCTGGTGAGGTAAAGGTTTCAGTCCAGTCTGAGGAGTCCCTGAGGTGGGAACCAATGAATCAGGGGTGTCCAAAGGTCTGGTACTCAGAGGATCCCACAGGGAATGTGCTGGAACTGTCAAATGGGGGTCCAGCACAGAGCTTCCAGACTGGACTGGTGGGTGCTGATCTTTTTGTCTATGGACAGCGCTAGAATCAGCACTGATACATCTTCTTCTATGGAAGGTAAGACTCAAAGGAAGATGATGTATGTGCAGGCCTAATTCCTTAGGACCTGTGTTCAAGGACTCACCTGATTTGGACCAAGATAGGAAGGGAATCCTTTTTTCTTAGAGGCAGATCTGAATGAGGATCTGTCCTTATGCTATGGTCATGTCCCCGATTCTCATGAGAGGGTTTCTTAGGCTTAAGTGTTTTGCCTCTACTCTGGACCTTGTGCTCAGAGGAGCACTGCTCACAGTCTATACAGGGGGTGGGATCTTCTCGGCCTTGATCCAACTGGGGCCTCATGGCCTGATCCACGAGGTGCTACTGTCCCTCACAAGACTGAGGAGGGTAGGGAACCGCAGGTGCTGCACTTGGTGGCAATGTGAGCCCCCCATAGCAGTAAAGGCAGTGCTGGATCTTGTCACTGATGGATAAGGAACAGGGGCAGGAGACACAGGGCTCTTGGCATAGTCCTCCTTGGGGAGAAGCTCCCACAGATGGGAGACTAAACGAACGATAAAAACACTAAACACTAAGTCTAAACTTACCAAAAACTTTTTACAATAGGTATTCACTGTAGAGGAAGATCATAGTGGACACAGTATTCTGACTCAGGACAAACAGAGGTAAGAAGGAACTGGAGAGACATCGGTCCACACCACCCTTTATGCCCTCGGTTTGGAACACAAAGAGAGAAACTGCACACATATGGACCAACGGACATTTCTTGCTATAAATCTCCAGTGTCATGCACATGAACACATGTGTGCCCATACATACAGGAACCAGCACTCGAAGAAGAATCAGACCTTTTCTGCCTGAAACTTAGAGCTGATTGGAAATTCTCTGATAGACTATTTTTCTGTGGGAGAATACAGATTTATTGAAATCGAAACGTTTCATATAGACTGAGCTTCCAGGCTCTCATCTCCCCTTTAGCCCTCCAGGTTCTTTCTTAAACACTGCTCTGTGCACATGAAACACCATCCCTGAACTAACCCATAAGGCCACAGCCCTCTTATCCTTACAGTCCAGCCTCAAGACCCATTTCTACAAAAAAACCCAGCCAATTAACAATGGCTAACTAGAGGTCAGCGTTAAGAGTGCTTTTAATAAATACCAGTTATTATTCAAATACATCCAAAGGTGCACACATAATGATGAAAAGTTATTACTGTCATTTTTGTCTCCTTTTCCCCCCTTCTCTTGTATGGTTTATAATACTTACTTGTGTCTTGTCTTAAACTGTTAGTTCTTTGGATCATGGGCAGTGTCTTCCTAGACTGGAATCTCTTGGTGGTGGGCAAGGAGGAGAGATTTCCCATGGCCTTTCTTATTCCTTACATTAGTTTTAAGTAGTTTGTAATGCACTGGCTTGCTTATGTATAGTATTGTGCACCAATGACCTCTGCTGGACAGAGTGTTAATTCTACTTACAAACTCATCTAGATTCATTGCTTTTAAAAGCCAGAAGGGACCATAATGATTATCTAGTCTGACTTTCTGAATAATACAGGTCACAGAATTTTACTCAGTAATGTCTGCATCAAGTCCATAACTTTAGCTATTGCATATACCTTTTAGAAAGACATTCAACCTTGATTTAAAGATTTCAAGAGATCGAAAATCCACCACACCCTTAGGTAAATGATTCCAATAGCTAATTACCCTCATTGTTAAAAATACATCTTATGTCTAGTTTGAATTTGTCAAGCTTCAGCTGCCAGCAATTGCTTCTTGTTATGCCTTTGTCTGCTAGATTAAAGAGCTCTCTATCATCAGAAATCTTCTCTCCATGTAGGTACTTACAGGTAGTAATGAAGTCACCTCTTAACCCTTTTCTTGGATAAACTAAATCAATTGAGCTTTTTAGTCTCTCACTGTAAGACAGGTTTTCCAGATCTCCAATCATTATGTAGCTTTTTTCTGAACAATTTCCATTTTTTCCACATCCTATTTGAAAAATGGTACAGTATAATCTCAGAGTTACTCACAACTCAGGAATGGAGGTTGTTCGTAACTCTGCAATGTTCGTAACTCTAAACAAACATTATGGTTGTTCTTTCAAAAGTTGACAACTGAACATTGACTTAATACAGCTTTGAAACGTTACTATGCAGAAGAAAAATGCTGCTTTATTTGTTTAGCAGTTTATGTTTAACACAGTGCTGTACTGTATTTGCTTTTTTTTTGTCTTGTATACACACACACGTTACCTTTAGTTAAGTTGGTGTAATTTATTTGTAAACTTATTTTGTTAAACTGCTGTAAGCCAGGTTTAAACCAATGTAAGCTTCACCACTCACAAAACTGGACCAGTTTAACTAAATCAATTTAAAAAAAAAAGCAATACCTTTAGTTAAACCTTTTGTTTGCATCCTCTGGATTTAGATCAGTCCTAAGTGTTTAGGAAATCCCTGTACTAAGCTGAGTGAACCCTGCCTTTTAGAAGCAGAGAACTCCCAGCACTGATATGTACTACATCCAAAGGAAAAGTCTTTACAGCCAAAATTTTGCTACCAATCATTTTTTAAATACAGAAAAGGAGGGGTCACCACTGTGATGCCTGAATCAATTTTGTGTTGGAGCAATATAGTTTTTCCTATTTCTATTACAGTAGCACCAAGAGGCCTCTACCAGGATCAAGGCCCCATTTTGCTAAACAATGTATATATACACTGAGCAAGAGACAACTGCAAACCTAAAGAGATTTCAATCTAAACAGACAAGAGAGACAAACAGTTAGAGAGTAACAGAGGCACAAAGAGGTGAAGTAACTTGCCTAAGGTCCCACAGCAGGTCAGTGGCAGAGCTGGGAACAGACCCTCAGTCTCCTGGGCCCCTGTCTCATGCCATATTTACTACACAATATTGCCTCCACTCAATACGACCATCACCACTAATTATTAATAATTAGCTTTTTACATCTTCAAAGTTCCATAGAAAGATTAACTATTTAATCCTCACAACAACCCCTTGTACACCAGGTAATTAGATATTATTTTCTCCATTTTACAGGTGTGCAAACTAAGACGGAGAGGTTAGTAACTTGCCAAAGGCACTAGGAGTGATATATTAATCCCATGATTACACATTTGCCCCATGCTTCAACTAGCCTAAGCAAAAAGAGATTCCTGAAGTACCCTGAAGGTGAAGGTAAGGAACAAAATACCTCTTGTTAAAACAAAACATGTTACAAAGGATTAAGAAATGTGATATAGTTTTCTGTACTTTTCCACAAGCATTTAGTATTTTCAACTACTCTCAGAGAGACAAGAATATTTTGGCATTGCAAAGTGCACTGTATTATCACATCTGGAATTCTGTTGCTGATTATTAATATTCATATTACCAATCTGTCAGATGGAGTCCGTTTTGAGGTATGTAACAACATATCCTATTAATTAATAAAACTGTTTTGACTGGACTTTCTCTGCTTTGATTGGCTGTTTGTGCCAACTCTCTCCCCCTCCCCATAGTCTTTTGTCACTACAGGTCAGTCCACACCTGCCCCTCTTACACTCTTCTCCCCTACCCTGTCCCACATACGTCTCTTCCCTTCAACGTGCCCTCTCTCTTTGCTTCTCTTTCCATTTAGCGTATCCCTTCCTAAATAAACCCACACCCCATAAAACTGTGGAACTAACAACTTTGCAGCCATCACATTGTACACTCTGCTTGTGTGTTACACTCCCTCCCCCGACCCTGCATCCATCTTGTCTATTTAGATTGTAAGCTCTTCAGGGCAGGGACCATCTACTACCCTGTATTTGTATAGTGCCTAGCACAATGGGACCACATTCTTGGTTGGTCCTTAGGCAGTATCATAATAAACAAAATTATAAGAAGATACACTGTCAAGATACTGGCTTTACTGATTATTCATTTTGCACCTTTCCTGATTTCTAGAAGCTTGAAAAATACTATTCCTAGCAATGCTGTCCCTTCCCATTTCGTCCCTCTGAAAGCTCTTGAAATTATTACAGTTGTACTGCATACTTTTTGAGATTTGTTAGTTAGCTATTGCTTCTGATCAAATGAGCAAGAGACGAAACAAAATATTGCTGGTTTTGGAGAAGGGCAGTGAAGGGGTTATCTTATGTTAAAAGGGAAGGCTACTCTGACAAAAGTTTCTGTCACAGGAGCCCCAACATGACGCTAAAGCTACCACCATACCCCTCATCAGAGTACTCTGTGGATGGAACCATCCAAAAAATTTACCAGGGTGAGCCGCCAGCATCCTGCATGAAGAAAAGAGCAACAGAAGCAATGTTCAGCAGCGTTAGGGGCAAGGACTAGACAAGCCCAAACAAGGAGTCAGTAGCTACAGCAGTCTGCATTCCTCCTTCCAGCAGCACCAGGGGGCAGCACATTTACACAGACAAGAGCCATTTCAGTCAGCAATTCCGGATTCTGTGAGCTGTTTTGGGAGACAGATGGCTTGGGTGAGAGGTGTGAGACAGTTGTGTGGGGTTGAAGGGGCGAGTGGAGATAATTGGGAAGAGGGGTAGGTAAGGACAAGCCCCAGTGGCAACTTCACAGCCCCAGACAGTAGTGACATATGAGCTTACATTCCAAAACTGACCTATGAACTTTCTGCCCTCTTCTGTCCAGTGGCTGTAAGGACCCACCCTAGACTCCTGGACTGCAAAAGAGAGCAGGAGATTCCTCCGGGAGAGAGGAGTTAAGATGTTATGTAAAGAAAGAGGGTCCATTGCTCAAAGGAGTTGTGTGGATAGCTGTTTTTAAAAGAAAGAGCAACAAATAATGCTAAGATGAGCGGCAATTGGAGTGGGAAAAATATACATATATACAGTGAGACCATGAACCCTGCCCGGAGATCACATTTTAAAGTGTACAAGATAGTACAAAACAATGCAGGCCTATGAGTAGGGTATGTTATTTGCAACCAGGATACTTCCTTCAAAAAACTTCTGAAAATTCGCTTGTTCTGGGAAGAATTTCTTTACATGATTCTTTTGTTAAAAATAAAATTCAAGAATAGACAATGTGGCATTGAGACATGGCAAGATCACAACCCAGAAGCTGGTCTTTCCTCTGTCTATTCCTTCCTGCTGTGACTCAGATTGGAGAGGTGTGCAGATGGATGGTTGGCTTGAACAGCAGTGGCAATAAGGCACTGAATTCAAGCTGTGAGGTTGGGATAGGTAGAACTCACGAAGTCTTGTTCTGGAATAGCATATTGTGGGATCCTATGTGATAGAATATCCTGTAGCTGTGGGGAGGAAGGGAGATGGAGGAACTATCCTAACTTGTCCTATAGATTCAGGCCCTACAGAAAGTAGAAGTCCATGGCCTAGTGATAGAGGGCATCCTGCCCGTGTATCTGAGGGTAGCGGGTGGTTAGGGAGTCTGTTGGTTTAAGCAAGGCTACACACACACAGATACCACAAGATTTCTCTATAGCTGGTAAACCAAAAAGGTAGGTGCAGATTATATTAAAAAAGAAAATACATAGAAAAATACTTATGAATTCATATATGTAACAAAAGAAACTAAGGCCAGAATTTTTAAAGGTAGGTGCCTAAAGCTAGGCTCCTGGTTAAAAGCGGATTGATTTTCAAAGATGTTGAGCTCCTGCATCTCCCACTAACTTCAGTAAGATTTATGGGTGCTCAGCACTACTGAAAATCAGACTATTTATTTAGGTACCTAAATATTGCTTCAGGAACCTAACTTTAGGTTTAAAGCTTCTGGTTTTCATTTCTTTCATACAGTGACTAGTGAAGCTCTCCCTTACTGACTGGGCAGCCACCACAAGCCCCAGGAAGGGCCAAAATTAAACACGTTGCTGGTGCTATGGCTAGGTATTTCCAGATTCTAATACTTAGGTCATTTTTTACTGCGTTGTTCTAAATGCTTAACTCAAACACTTAGTTTTTCTTTTGGCGTGTACACTAAATGCATGAGCAAAGAAACAACTTTCAGATAAGCTTACTCAGGACCCCTTCAAAAAGTGACAAACTTCTCAGGGTATCTCAGAAATATCTCTATTTATTTGGTGAATATGAGGGAGAAATGGGGGGGACAAAAAAGAACTTTTATAAGATATATATGCTATTTGTTGCCACTTATTTTGCCAATAACTTCCATTGATATAATTAGGAGATGAAAGATTACTGTCCAATGTTTTACCGCTCAGGATTCCATAAGAGTATGTTCTATTGAATTCAGGCTTTGGAATTCTTTTTAAAAAGTTAATTAATTGGATATAGAGAGAATAGTGTTTTATTTATATAGAATAATGTTATCCAGTCTTGCCTCTGTATCTCTAAGTGTTAGCTGAGGTGCAATTTTGTAAGTGGCATCCTTAAAAATACATACAATAATATATGGGTAAAAGCCGGCCACACACAGCTACAATCAGAATACAATACATTAGTTTCTGCAAGAAGAAAAACTGACCACAAAACTGACACAAGTTCCTTTCCCCCCCCCCCTTTTTCCCGGTAATTCACGTTTTCCTTTACATTATTTTCCCTTATAAGTTAAATGTTGATGTGGAACAAAAATTGCTCCATAAAACCTGAATCAGTGACCTAAGGGAAAATACTTATCATCCTTTTCAGACATTTCTTATCTCAGTTGCATAGTTAAACAGTCCACAGTGGGATGAAACACTTCTAATGTGTAAACATTTTATAGAATAGAATATGAAGCCATATTCATGCAAAGTCTTTTTGGAATCTGACTTCCCATTACTGTATATAGCTTCCTTCTTGCCTTTTCATAAGCAAATGCAATATACATGAGTTCTGTGTTTAGTTTCAGAAATAGGGTACTACTTGGTCTTCTAACCCACTAACTTTCAACTTTAACACGCTGTCCTCAAAGAATATTGTACTCATAAACCAAAAGGACTGTTACTTGCAGGAAAGGAGTTTAATGAATGGCAAAAATGTTACAGTATACACTTTACACAGCAGGTTGCACCATTACTGAACAGAGACCATGAGAATTTAGCAATTGGTGTGGTGTAGAATTCTTCATTAACTTGTCCATTCAAATGAGCACTTCTAGGCTGTTCCAATACAGTGAATTCTTGTTAAGAATGCTTCTAGTGTTAGTTCTAGCTGGATGTATGTCACTTTTACAGCACGACCTTCCCCTTTTCCTCCCATTTCCTCTGTGTCAGAGCTCTAACTGCTGTGTGCCTGATAACGATTAGCTAGGCAGGAAATCTGTCTCACTTAGTTATACCTTATACATTCCTGTTTCCTTACCTTATGCTGATGTGCTGGAGGTGTGCTCCCGGCTGATACACCTCCATATTTTCAATCTTGCCACAGTGGGCCCAAATTTCATTATTTCATTTGTTATTTCCTAGCATATAACTACTCTATTAGTCAACACACCTGCCACAGGGCATGCTTTAAATTTTCAATACTGACATTATTATGGAGACAGCTTTATTGATATTCTTGTTCCACCTGGATCTCCTCTCCAGTCACAGGGCTATGTATGATGGAAATAATTTAGTCTGTTTTGCAGCTGTATACATGGTAATTAATATCCATTGTGTAAGACTTGCATAAAACCTGAAACACTTGCTTCAGATATGGTTTGCAAACCATTACTCCGGGTTTTCGTTTTATAAACCAGGTTTACATCCTAAAAAGTGATGAATACCCAAGTTTTATTCTGTTTCTTTGCACAAGTCATTTGGCATCTGCAGTCATTTATTATTTTTAAACACATTCTCTCTTGGTAAAAAGGGTGATCTTCACTTTTTTTTTTTTTGGTATACTCAAATTTCTTATGGTTTCAAACAGTTGTATACAATAAATTCAGGGTATGTGAACCATAAAACAGTAGATATTTGATACAAAAGCTAATTATAGTGGAACAAAATTCCCTTTTTTCAGTTCTAAAGGTGTGTAACATGATAGATATGCTGACGTCTTCCCCAATCTTCTTTTAGAGGAGTTAAAAATAAGGAAAACCAATAACACCAAATTCACAAAGGAGTACCTGTCAACTTGTTTTGTAGGAGACACAGTACATGCGTTCAAAAACACCATGTAAAATCATCATTTTACTCAGCATTCACTGCAATTAAATATTTCAGCTTCTGTAGCAGAAACCAGCATCATGGCAGTAGTTCAGAGTGAATTACAGCAGCCTGCTGTAAAGTCACTGTGTTAAGAGTTTTCATGCTAATGTGAATTTGAACTACCAATATAATTTTTATCATCAAAACATCAGCTAATGTAACTGCACAATCTGTTCTTACTCGTATAAATATTGAATGAGTTTCAGAAAATCATTCAGCAATCTACTTCTTTTAAAATATGCTGTGTCACTGAGTTTCACCGATTAATTATATTGTGTTAAAGAAGAATTAAGTCTCTTGACATGTATTGCTTTTTACTACAGAGTGCCTTGAGAGTTATGCATGAAGGAAGAGACTATGTGGAAACATCCAACTAATCTATTTCCTTTTATACTTTTTTTTTTCCTGTGCTGAAAGTGCTTGGGTGAAATCCTGACCCCATTAAAGTCCATGGGAGTTTTGCCAGCATTTCACGCATAACCTTTTCTTAAAATATGTCTACACTCAAAACACTGCAGTTATGCCACTGTAAACTTCAGTGTAGACATACACTACAGCGACGGAAGGGGTTCTCCCATCATTGCAGTTAATCCACCTCCCCAAGAGGCAGTAGCTAAGTTGACAAGAATTCTTCTGTCGACCTAGCACTGTCTACAGCTACATCTCTCAGGGTGTGAATTTTTCACACCCTGAGAGATGTAGCTATACTGATGGGAGTTTTCAGTGTAGTCCAGCCTTTATTTTCCTGTAAATACTCTAACTCCCTCACAGCCACCACAGATTTCTCTAAATCAGAATGGCACAACCTGTGATATTGTGGTATAAAGGTATTTATATTGGGTTATGGTGTCACCAGAACATATGAAGTTATTTGATGTCACAACAAACATCACAAAGCAACAACAAAAGTCATGCCTACAGTAAGTGGAGGACTCATCTCCCATCATTTTGCCCAATTTCCTAGTTTAGTAAAACAGTGGGTAGCTGAACTGCACCACAAAGAACCACAGAAGACATTGTGCCTTTCTGCCCACCCTAGTTCACTGGTGTGTAATCTGTGACAACTCTTTTTGGTTCATATTCCTCTCCCCACAGAGTCAGCTGGCTCTGCCTCCCCACATTCCACCCACCAGAACCAGCTTAGCCTACATGTCACCTCTCCCACTTGGTTCCTTGGGATGTAGTGCCTGCCTCTCAGCCTCTGTGCTTCCCCCCAGCACTTGGCGGAAAGATCCACATAGCTCTAACTTGGCAGACAAATTGGAGAAGAAGGAGGGAGAAAAGCTTTACCCCGCCCCCGCCCCCCCGCATGATCACATAAGGGCTAGATTGTCACTAGCCGTAAAATGGCTTACAGTTCTTTATAACACTTCCCCATTTTAATTAACAATAACTGAGCCATCAGTAAAACTTGCTACCTCACTAGTCACCCTTTCTGCCAGAAGAAAGAACAGGAGTACTTGTGGCACCTTAGAGACTAACAAATTTATTTGAGCATAAGCTTTCGTAGCCCACGAAAGCTTATGCTCAAATAAATTTGTTAGTCTAAGGTGCCACAAGTACTCCTGTTCTTTTTGCGGATACAGACTAACATGGCTGCTACTCTGAAACCTTTCTGCCAGGTTGTTAATAGATACAGAACACTGAACCCAGTAGTGATCATTGAGGAACATAACCATTGATATCTTGGAAACGATTTAGACTCTGCTTCCTTTTCATTCAAAAGCCTCTACGTGCATATATTTTCAGCTTACAATTGTAGAGTGGTACCAAATTCTCTCTTGTACTCCATTCCTGAATTATGAAGTCACCAAGTTTAGAATTTGTGGTTGACTAAACCCTAAGATCCTGTAGGCTGAAGTTTTCAAAAATAGGAGGTTAAGCTTCATATCCATCTTTAGGCACCTACGGGTAGTAATTTTTAAAGCCCCTAAATGACTTAAGAGCACAATCCCACTGAATTCAATGGTACTTGTGTTCCTAAGTCACTTAGGCACTTTTGAAAATTAAAACCCGTAGCAGCCTAAAGATGGATATGGAGAACTTTAGGCTCCTTTTTTAAGAAAGGGGATTGCGGTCAGAATATTTTTATAATTGTAAATGCTAGACCTGAATAGAGATTTATGTTGTAGTGCCAGTTTATCTCAGTCGAAGAAATCAAGTGACCTACCTAATGTATTCCAGAGCGCTTGTTATCTGTTGTTGCACAATATCGTAAAGTTTCACTCTGAAGCCTCCACCAGCAAACACCATAGCCCAGCTGCGACCAATCAGTCCGCTAAAGAGGAAATAAATAGAAAATGTTTATGTGTGTAACTACATAGTTCACTTCTGAACCATCAAAAGGATTGTTGATTTAAATGAGTATTGACTTTTCCTATCTGGGAAAAATGTGCATTGAATACAGTAGACTACAATATGGCCTCTATTTGTTTGAACACCAGTATAATAATTTATATGAGTAATCAACTGCTGCTGCACAGCCACCAAAGGATTTTGCGGGGGCAGGTAGGAGGGAAACTAGTGAAGAGGAAGGAATAGTGAAAGGTTGGAAGAGGGAAGGACAAAGAGGGGAGCACAAATAATTTCTGGTTTTGTTTTTTATTTAAACTGTTAAAATAAGCTCTCAGTGATCATAGAGTCATAGAATATCAGGGTTGGAAGGGACCTCAGGAGGTCATCTAGTCCAACCCCCTGCTCAAAGCAGGACCAATTCCCAACTAAATCATCCCAGCCAGGGCTTTGTCAAGCTGGGCCTTAAAAACCTCCAAGGAAGGAGACTCCACCACCTCCCTAGGTAACGCATTCCAGTGCTTCGCCACCCTCCTAGTGAAATAGTGTTTCCTAATATCCAACAAGTCACTGAAAACACAGGACTCTGTTCTGAGCTATACCTCCTGGACAGTGCAGTTCAGGAGGTACAGCAGGGGATAAGTAGAGGGGCAAACATGGCTTTAAGGCATCTTTGTGTCCTCTGAATTCTGGACACACCCCTAAGCTTGAGTTAGAGCAGCCTAAGAACTCCCACGCTGAGGTGTGCCACCAAGCAGTAGCCTGTGCAGGAGAGCTCAGTCAACAGCCTTTAGAGAGGTCATGTCACAGCTTGCAACATGCATGGCACTACTCTCCCAGGATCTCAAAGCAATTCACAAACATTAATAAATTAAGCTTCACGAGAACCATTATCCTCCTTTAACAAATAGGGACACTAATGTACAGAGTGGTTAAATGACTTGGCTTTGTTACAGATTTGCTGTGTGACATTAATCAAGAATAGAAACCAGATCTCCTTACTTCCATTCACGTGTTTTTTAAACTATTACACCATGCTTCCTCTTGTTGCTAAGAGAGGAACTGCTCTTGTATTTTCCTTTGAACTGCATGAGTGCCACAGACTTGGAAAGTTTCATTCTACAAGGCCATGTGATCAACAGTGAAGAAGAACATTGGTAATGAAAGAAACAATCAGCAATAGGCCAGGAAGCAAAGGAAAGGCAGAAGAGAAAAGAACACTGGAAAAGTCTTCAGTTAAAAACAAAACAGGAAGCTTTTCAAGGAGACAAGGAAACAATGGAAATAATTGGAACAAAAACAGAATTTAACTTCATGTTAAATGTTGCTGAGCTGGCACAAATCTGTTCTCTCCTCTTTCTCTAAAAAAGAAACAGGATTCCATAAATAAAAAAAAATAAACCCAGTTCTCGTCAATTTCTAAGCTGTTTAGTGAACCCAGGCAGATATGGAACATAAGAACATAAGAATGGCCGTACTGGGTCAGACCAAAGGTCCATCTAGGATTAAAACTTGTTAGCCACTGTGGCATCCTTATATCATGGTTATCACTAAAGTATTTGTCAAGTGCTTCTTAAACTATTATAAGCTTCTTATTATTTTTCACCTTCAATATTAAGGAGAAATCCATATATTGTGGTGTCTTGATCCCAAGAAAGGAGTCAAGTTTTGGCATACTTTTTAAAATCTCCATTCCATACTTTGACTAACACACTCAGAGAGCACAGCACTTGTAAGATGTCAACACAACACTGGTGCAATAAGGACCTAGGCCTTACTTTCAGGTAGCTATAGCTGCCCACCTCTCACAACATTCCCACACTTTGTCTTGGCTAGGCTATGTCGTGTGGTGGCGTTACACATTATGTACAGACAGGACAAGCCTTCTGACCCTCAGCATACCAATGGCAAATGACGGGTAACTAAGTATGACCACTAGCTATTAGTCTGGTCACTGTCATGTGACAGCATAATTGACACGTGCCTGAAAATATAACTCACACCTCAAATGGTCTTTCAAGGCAGGCGGCAGAGTACTTTAGCCAGTCAGTAGCAGGTGTGCATTTACAGTGGTTACTCAGAGCCATTGATAAATCTGAAGTAACTGGAAAAAGCTATTTTTTAAATAAAAAAGCTAATCAGTTTTATCTCAAAAACAAATTGAAATGAGACTCGTATTAATACCTCAGTCTCAAAATGCTACTTCTTCATATCTTGCTTCAAATAAGTACCATTGTGTTACTGTATCTTATCTCTAAGTTTCTCTACATGCTTTATGACCTTTACATAAACCTGAACACAACTTTATTCACCCACACATAACACAGACACATACATGGAGGGTTGTGCTTCACAATAAATGAATATGGAGAAAATGAGCACATGCTCACAGAGCTATAAAAAGGGGTAACAAAAGAGACTCTACACCGGACTGCAGCACAAAGTTTTCAGAAGGATCCAAATTTATCACAAACAGAATGACACATGAACGTATAGTAAACCAATCGCACTAGAACAAAAGTTTTCACAGTTGATGCCTTTTGTACTAATTCTGAGTAATTTTCACTGTTGAACAATTTAGATACATTATTCTCAGTTAACACCTTGCTGTGGTATCTGGCTGCTGTTACAGCAGCAAAAACTAAGGCAACATTTTGTGCCTGCACCTATTGGCAGCATATAGACATCATCAGGAATCAATACCAACAGCCCAAAGTCCAGGGCTGTGGTTTCACTGGCAGGGTTGAGGTGAAATGCCCAAACCCTTCGCACTTCCCTGTGGCATTTGTCACCAGAGCCCCTGGTATCTGCTGCTCCCTCTGGCCACTGCATCTAGCCTCTAGACCCTGCCTCCAAACAAGAGAGACCGCTGAGCTTACCTGCCAATCACCACAACCTGTCCCGCCTGGGTAGGCTCCATGTCCTGCAGGGACCCCGGCCGCTGCAGGAGAGGCGCTAGAGCTGCAGGAGCGGGTCGCACCACCAGAGCAGTAACCTCCTGGGGCACCTCCTGCTTAGGGACGCTCTCTCCCCATCCCTCACAGGATGTCACAGCCTCTCTGATTGGCTCCCTGTACAAGCGTTCCGATTGGCTCCCCGAAGGGCCCCTAAGCAGCTGCTCCTATAGAGTCCCTGTGTCGAGATGTTTCGCTTACCCGACGGGTTGAAAAAAAAGGGGCGGGCGGGCACGACAACCAAGTTCACCCGTCAACCCGTAATTACCAGGCGTTAGGAGAGTAATTCTCTTCCTGGCTCATTGTGAGAACGACTGGGGAGGGTGGAATTTGGAGGCAAAGAGTCTCCAGCAAGGTTATCTTTGGGGAGCCCCATCTCCCAGCCCCCACCACAAGTCCCCAAACACCCCCATACAAAGTCCCCTAGTCTCAACTCCTTCCCCCTTGCAACCCTCCCCCCAATACAGCTCACTCCCATCTCTCCTCCCTTGCCCCAAACTCCTCCTCAAAGCTCCCCCCACAGGAATGTCCCCTCTCTCTTGCTTGCCCTGGCCTTCACATCAGCTCCCCCTGGTGGTATCTCTTTTCCCTACCCTTCCGTGGGCAGCAGGAGGATGCAATGGAAACGTCCCTTTTCCCTCCCCACCAGGCAGTGCAGTCACTGCTGAGGCCGCTGCGGAGGGTGGACATGGAATTCCAGCTATTGCCCATAATCAAGAACAAAGGAGCACATGCTTCCCCAGTTGTTCTGCCATGATTGATGTGCCTGTCGTTCAGGCAATCTAACACCTCTTCCCTCTCTACCCCACCACTGTTTTACCTACAAAAATGACAAACTCCTACCCTTTTGCCATGCCATCTATAATGTCCATGCAATACAGACAGAACTCGAGTGTTTAAGGTCCTTTGAAAGAGCTACACACATTAAACTGCAGGGTACTCAGTGTATTTACCTCAGAAAGAGGAATTGCGGAGCTGATCCTCTTTGTTTAAATTAAAAGCTCCCAATAATGAGATTGGCAGGTCTTTTCTGAACACAGTGTCTGGACAGAAAGAAATACTGTAGTTTGTCAGACTACGGTTGTCTTCATTTCCACATGAACTATTTGTCTTAAGCCTAACCAGTGATGTGCCTTGATAGCAGTTCCATACTGAAGTTGAGACCTTCAAAATCCATTCTGTGCATTTGTATGGCACTAAGAAAAAATAATGGAAATATTTCTGTTGATCTGATTTTGTAAAAACTTATTTCTTTAAAAAACAAAATGTTGTGCCACATTTGACTTGATAATATTCATTTAATGCCTTCAGTTGGTTTACAATATCCTCTGTTCCTACTGTAGTGCTGCATCTCCTATTACTGTGCACTAATCCTATGGATTTGCTACTTGTCTAAGCATTCACTCTTGTAATCTTACGCTGGATTTCCCTGAAAATGAACCATTAAAAGGTTAATATTTTAAATTCATAGGTTATAAGGACAGGAGGGACCACTGTGGTCACAGAGCATGGTCTTCTGAATAACACAGACCTTAGGACTTACCTCAATTCATTTTTGTTTGAACTGGAGCCTCTTTTTTAGAAAAAAAATCCAATCTTGATTTTAACAGTGCCGATGATGGAGAATCCACCACAATTAACAATTTGCACCTCATTTCTAGTCTGAATTTGTCTAGCTTCAACTTCTTGCCATTGGATCATGATATACCTTTGCCTGCTAAATTGAAGAGCCTATTATCAAATATTTGTTCCCTATGTGTGTACTTATAGACTGTGATCACATCACCCTTAACCTTCTTTTGCCACACCTGCTCTTAAAAGCTATAGCATTGTGGTATTAGCTTTACAGTAGTGGTTGAAAAGACACTTACATTCTAAGCACCTATTTTCAGGAGCTTATAAATTTCAGAAAAATTTGGGTTAAAAATTATTATACTCAGACCAAATGTGAATGTTTGTTGTTTTCTTGGTAGAGTCTGGTGAACCTCTGTTGGGATAATTCACAAATGGCCTAGCATTTTTAAAGTATTTTTCACATATACTTTTTAATTCTCCAATACATTAATTTAAAATGTCATTTTCTAAATGTTCTAAATGCTCCATCTGGGGGTGCGGGCCCTGTGGTGGGGCCGGTGATGAGGGGCTTGGGGTGCAGGTGGAGGCTCTGGGCTGGGGCAGGGGGTTGAGGTGTGGGAGGAGGTTTGGGGTGCAGGTTCCGGGCAGCGTTTACCTCAGGTGGCTCCCAGGAAGCCGTCGGCATTTCCCTCTGTCTCCTAGGCAGAGGCGTGGCCAGGCAGCTCTGCACGCTGCCCCTGCCTGCAGGCGCCGCCCCTGCAGCTCCCATTGGCCACGGTTCCCAGCCAATAGGAGCTGCGGAGACGGTGCTAGGTGTGCGGAGCAGCGCACAGGGCCCTCGTGGCCACCCCTAAGCCTATGAACCAGAGAGAGGTGCCGGCAGCTTTCTGGGAGCCGCGCGGAGACAGTCAGGCACCTTGCCTGCCCCGTTGCAGGCAGCCAACTGGACTTTTAATGGCGTGGTCAGCAGTGCTGACCAGAGCTGCCAGGGTCCCCTTTCAACTGGGCATTCCAGGCGAAAACCAGATGCCTTGCAACCCTATACTGGAGCCTGACCCCATTAGCCATTACCCAGGCAAAACTTCCACAAAAGACAATAATAGATTCTTCTGTGTAAGAACAAGACAACAGGCATATTCCCTGCTGTCACTGATGATCAGACAGTCTCATGCTTCCATGTCGCCAGTGAATAGATAGATGGGCAAGAACAGGAAAAAGAAGAACAATGAAAAGATTAGAAAAGGAAAAGGGGAGGACATAGGAGGTGAGATTTTCAAGGTCAAAATGACAGGATAGAGAGTGGAATAAGGAAAGAAGAGTTCCCTTGCCTATCACAGCATAAATATTTGCAGGCCTGTTAATTTGAGTAGATGGTTGGTGACTCTTCTCTTTCCTGTGATCCCTGTGGAAAGATCAGAAACCGTAAGCCTATTTAGCAGAGATGTGATGAAAGATTCTGGGCTTAATTAGAAAAAGAAAGCAAAGTTTATCTTGACATATGAGATGTCCAAGTGGAGCAAACATGCACTCACCAAACTGGGCATTCTTTTCTTCTCTCAATACAGAGATTCTTTCTCCTTATTCTAGAAGCAGTAGGAGCAGCCTTTCACAGTTTCATTGACAGCAGCAAAGATGACCACTCCATTATTTTTTGGTATGTGTTCTCTGTTGAACATGCTCCACTTCTATACCATATAAGGGCAAAAAACCTGCTATTGGCTGAAGACAGTAGGCAGGATCTTACTGTAGGGGGAGGAGCTAGGGCTCTATAAGAGTAGCTTGGAGGAAGCAAAGCAGGGCAGAGCAAAGTATTACTTTAAACAGGCTGAAATGGAAATATGCAGGAAAGTAAATGTTTGTTTTCTCCCAGGAAAGCAAGGAATCATGTATTTCTGAAATACAAAGTGTTTCTTGAGTTAGGAAAAATTTACCAAACCCACTGGAGTGGAATGAAAACAGAGGAATAGTTCACATCTGTTAAATATTAAATGCATTACTTGGTCACTAAAGCAATCAGAAATAGCGTGTTTCAGTTGAAGCAAACTAAGGTATGTTGCTAGTTACAATACTAAAAGCTCAGACAAATCATGCTGATCATGCTGAAGAATGGAAAGTTAGTTAAAATGCTTTTGTTTTAGTAACGTTTATCCATCTTTTGTAGAGTTAAATGTATCCGGTAATGTTCAATGCAAATTATGTGATTCTAACTTATTACCAATATTATATGTAAAAATACTACGCTCCTGTAAAAAGCTGTCTACATGAGGCAAAAGAGCAAGTGTAGTAGGAAGGTAGATGTTACAAAGGACATGCTATAAATGTGATTTAACAGAAAATTGTCTTAAAGATGGATTTCCGTGTTAGATAACATCTGCTTTACACACAAACTACAACGCAAGCACTGTTCATAATCAAGGTTTTTTTCACTATATATTTTAGACTCATTTATTTATTTTCAAATTCCATATTGGATCAGTTTATGTATTTAGATAAAGTGAGACTACACTGAATTGCTGTTTGGAATAAAATACTATAAATATACTAGATCACCTAGGCTCATTACTATATTACTGTGATTAATTTTGCTTTTGTGCTGTATATTTTACTTTTCTAGATCAGTTTTAAAAAATATCTGCTGCTGCCCATTTTTAGTGTAATATGGAAGACAAGAAAATTCTGAAAACATTATTGGGCCTAGTGCTTACTGCTGGTACCATGAGTAGCCTTATGGACTCCAGTACTATTTTCTGACTTTTATTCTCTTAAACCAAAAAACACAATAATATCAATACACTTTATAAATAAACTTTTTAGAAAGTCAGGCATGCAAATACTTCCTACCATTATTTTCATTGGGCCACACTGCACATACTCAGAGACAAAAAAAAAGCTTTCTTAAGTTAAAGTTGCTATAGTAAGTACTATGCTTTGGAAGAAATGAATATCAACAATGGTGAAAAAAATTGAGTATGGATAATGAGTTTATGTATATAGATTTGAATATCCATATTGTTCATGTACTCTAACAAAAAACATACAGATATAACAGTCAACATAAGACACATCTTGCAAGCTCTTTCCCCCAAGATATAGCAATCAAGATAAAGTGAGACTACACTGAATTGCTGTTTGGAATAGAATACTATATATATACACTAGATCACTGTCATAACTATAAAGGGAAGGGTAACAGCTCTCCTGTGTACAGTACTATAAAATCCCTCCTGGCCAGAGACTCCAAAATCCTTTTACCTGTAAAGGGTTAAGAAGCTCGGGTAACCTGGCTGACACCTGACCCAAAGGACCAATAAGGGGACAAGATACTTTCAAATCTTGGGGGGGGGGGGAAGGTTTTTGTTTGTGCTCTTTGTTTGGGAAGTTGTTCGCTCTTGGGACTGAGAGGGACCAGACATCAATCCAGGTTCTCCACATCTTTCTAAACAAGTCTCTCCTATTTCAAACTTGTAAGTAAATAGCCAGGCAAGGCGTCTTAGTTTTACTTTGTTTTCTCAACTTGTAAATGTACCTTTTACTATAGTGTTTATCTTTGTTTGCTGTACTTTGAACCTGAGACTA